AGAGCCATCAGTCCCCAGCGAGCCTGTCATCAGGCCCTGGGAAGGGAAGGGCTGCTGTCAGGGCCACCTCACAGGGGATGTTTGTTTAGAGGACTGGGTGGGGCACCTCCTGTGTGGTTAAAAGGCTTTGATTTTTATACAAAGGGATGTGCGGAAAAGATCCCAGTTTGCAGTGGCCGGCAGTAGGAAGGAAGGATGTGAAAACAGGCGCCTGCCACTGCACTACTGGCTTTGAGGGTTCAGGCAGCTGAGGATGAGCAGGCTGTGTAGGAGCGGTAGGGTGTGGTGGAACTGTGGCAAACGTGAACGCACCTATAGTCTAAAGGAGACCATTTCTCCGCTCTTCTAGCTCCCCCGATTTAAACATGAGACTTATAAGTAAAGGTTATGGGGCCTGAATTTCCAACGGGCCCGAGGCTTGCAACTGTAGTTCATTTACCGTGTGCCTGTCACCCCAACCCAAGAGGTTACAGCGTGCCAGTCACACTCACCCCAACTTTTTGAGGGTGCAACATGCCCACCACACTCACCCAATCCTATGAGGAAGCCAGTACCAAATAGTGGCCCATCATACAGTTAAAGAGACAACAGAAGACAAGAGCCAACATCCCACGCTTCAATATGCCAGCTATTCCAAACTCTCCCGTGAAAGCCTGCACGGTTTCCAATTCCTTCCTGGGCTTGGAAGGGAGACCTCATTGATGCGAGGGTTTCCTAGAGGCACAGGCAGAAGGCCTTCCTGTCTCCCTCAGCCTGGACTAGGGCTCACCACTTCTGTGGACAGGATGCGTTTCCCAAGTAGCAAACATCCCCTTGCTGAGTAGACAGCATCTCTATACAAGCAGAAGTTTTGGATGTGGCCGCAGGAATGGACTGATTCTGTAGATGGGAGTCTTTCAGAAACAGCCCTTCGGAGCAAAATCTTTTCTCATCAAGGATGAAAGATGTGCCTGTGCCCAGGAACCTGGTGAACAGTGATGTGTTCCCCTCCCTGAGGGCCTCCCAGCTCAGGCAGAAGCATAGAGAGGTGAGCAGGTGGTAAGGAAGGACAGAGGGACCTACCTGGTATTGAAGGCAGACAACCAGTAAGGCTGAAGCAGAGCTGGCCAAACACAGGCAAGTGAGGAGCAGGTGGAAACCTGGGAGGCTGGAAACGGAGGTCCGATTGATCACACAGACCTGTGGACTAGGGAATGGCCTAGGATCTTAACGCCACGTACCATCAGCTTGCTTGCTGTTCAGATACATACGCACGGCAGCCACTGCTATGGCTCAGGCAGTGTATGGCGCATGACCCAAGAGGCACTGGCCACACCATACTCTAGTGGGGAAGGCCAATTGTTCCAGATAGCCAGTGAAGCGGCAGGGTAACTTAAGGTGAGCGCTGCCAAGGGTCTAAGCTCTGTGGAGAAGCCACCTGTGAGCTGTGCTGGGCATACAAACAGATGTGTTCCTTTGCATATGGGGGACACCTCACCCACCACCAAAGTTTGTGTGACATAAACTGAATGTTAATGCCTTCAAGCAGCACAGAAGAGCCAAGAGTGAGACCCAGAGAAATCATCCAAAGCTGAAATTTAACACCACTGTGTGCGTTCTCCTGGACACAGCCACGCTCACGTTCTCACTGCCTCTGCTGCTTTGTGCTTTGAAGGCAAGAGAGACCACGTGACTTGCAAAGCCAAAAATATTTCCTATCTGCCCTTTTTATAGATAAGAATGACAGGCTCTATCCTCAGTTCTTCTGGTACGGTGCTCCTCTGCAGAGCCCTCTTCCACATCAGCCCCACCGCGTCCCCCATGTCCAGAAAACTGCTGTCTCAGAAGATGGGAAGCAAGCTTGGGAATAGAGAGTGGAAAAAAGCTTCTGCCCTTACTGCACTTTTTCCCAGCCAGGGACTGGTGGGAGGCGGGCCCCTCAGTCAACGTCTTCTTACCTTTGGCCTGGTCTTGGGCAGTCTAGGGCAGGTATGGATCTAGAGTGACCCCTTAGCTAGAGAAACGCTTGCCTAGCAGGTGGTTCTGTCCCCTGAGAGCTTAGCTCTGTAGTTTGTAACTGATGGGGGATTCTGTACTCTCCACTCAAAGCAGTGGCATCTAAACTCCATTTATTATAGGCACAAGCAACTGCCTGCGACATCCACTTACCTACAGACCTTATGCCTCTGTTCTTGTTGGTCTGTTTGGGTTTTTGCTTCATTTGGCTTTTGAGACAGGGTCTGGCTATGCTGCTTAGCCTGGTCTCAGACCTGAGAATCCCCTGCCTCATCCTGAGGATGTCTGTGCTGGTTGGTATGTGTAACCACGTCCAGCTCTTTCTTATTTCATTTTTTTCCTTACATCAAATTATGTGTAATCCTCTTTGACCTATGCAGAAAGAGATAGATAATCTACCAGACTTTGGATTCTAGGATGTTCGCAACGGTTGTCTGAGGTTACAGTAACATTTGGGGTGACTCTTAGAACTTTCTCTTACTTTTGTGTACTATATATTTCAAGAAAACATGAGTCATCTTCATCTACATAGAAAAGGCCAGACGTTTTCGGTTCAAAAAAAATAAATAAATAATCACAGTGCATGTGGGTGCTGAGGGTATTTATGTCACTGTGATGTCACTGCCGGAGAGACGTGCCCCTGACAGCTCACCAGTAATTGCGGCAGGGGAGTTAATGGCTTAAGAACATAAGGAAAAGGGGAATGTAGTAGGAGGTGAGAGATGTGGAAATTAGGTCATCTTTGTGGCGTATAGAATATTCCCAGTAGATAAACCTGGCCTCACTGCCAGTGTTAAGAAGGATGGAGGTGTGGCTCTCGGCTCATCCCCCCCCCCCTCCCATTGTGCTGTCTTGAGAAACAGAAGCCTAGTAAGTTGAACTCTTTAAAAGCAGTACCTTGTCGCCCCCTAGTGTCCTTGTTCTGTTATGTCACCTTTGGCCATCCCAGCAGTCTTCATAGTCTGTATTTGAAATCTCTGCTCTGGAGGGAAATGCATGGTGGCTTGGTACCCATTCCTCGGGATGCGGGGGGGGGGGGGGCATTCTCCAGGGAAGTGAGAATGTCTCATCAATCCCCACTTCTTCCTGTTGAAGCCACGCAAAGCACATCTCTCCAACAGAGACAAAGAGCTTCTTGCCAGGCAGGGCTACAGCCAAAGCCAGCCATGCCTCTCTGCGGGAGGGTAACCATTGGCTTCAGAGGCAGCCTTAGGTTTGGGAGTCTGAGATGGGAAAAGAGGTGTGTGTCTCTCGGTGCTCTGTTTGGCACATACAGCCTCAGACTCGCCGCTAGCCCAGTCACAGAGCTACCCTAACATGCAGACAAAGCTGTGCCCCTGCCCCTGGACAGCCTTCCCCCTCCCTCTTGGGACTCTGCTTTGGTGGGACCAAATGAGTCTTTGTCATAACAACTTCACCCTGCCGTCTGGCCTGAGGCTTTTCCAGTGGTTTCCAGGTGCTTGTGGGAGAAAGGCCTGAATTTTAATCTGGTTCTCCAGGCTTCTCAAACCTGGACTATTGCTCCTGGGTCCCTTCCGCGGACTTTGCTTCTTCCCCAGCCCCACCCAGGTACTCTTGCTCAGCACTCAATTGAAAGGGCCTTCCTCAAGGGAGTCAGCCCCCAGCAGAGTCTCGGCCTTCTCTGGAGAGCTTACAAGACAGTGGCATTTTCCTTCCTGGTGTCTGTCCAGACCTGTGTCCAATATCAACCTTGCAGTTCCTCCAAAATCTTCATCTCCCCTTGGTGACTGAGGGAAATCGGCCCCAAGGAGATATTTGTTTAGGTCCAGGGACAAGTTTGGCAGTGCTGGCGAAGAGAAGGGTGGTGCTCTCGACTGTGCCTTCAAGAGCAGCGAGTGCCCCAGTCGCCCCTCTGCAGACTGATCCACAGCTGTCATGACTGTAGTGAGTTGGCCCTAGGCAGATGTGGCTCCATCGCATCTCGTAAAGCTTTCCAGCTACACGGATGGAAAGACACACGGACCCTCAGAGGAAGCCTTCTTTTTTTGTGGGTGCCTTGGCTTTAAAGTTCTTTAAAGACTGCATTGCATGTATGCGTTGATCTGTTTGCAATAAAATTTCATATGCAACTATAGTTAGTTGGATAGTCATCCAGTCCAGTGTCTTGGCTTCCTCAAAGAGCCTGTCCTGAGGGCAAGTCAGGAGAAAGCTTTATTAATAAAGGGTAACATGAGAAGCGTAGCTCTAAGTGATCCTGAGGACAGGGGGACAAGTTTGAATATGGACATTGTATGAGATAATCCTGTTAACCTGACTGCTGCTTTTTTTTAGGTAGGATAATGGCTGTAAGGTTAGATGAGAGAATGTTGTTGTTCTTAAAAACTGCAGGCCAGAGTGTTTGAGACTGAAGTAACAGAGTGTCTACTTAGTTAAAAGTGTGTGTGTGTGTGTGTTGGGGGTAAGCATGGTAGTTCATGACTGCACTCCCAGGGCTTAGGGGACTAAAGCAGTAGTCTGGACTACATAGCAAGTCTGTGTCTCAAAAAATAAAAAGAGAGATGGGGAGATGGCTCAGTTAGCAAAATGCTCACCTTGCAATCATGAGGACCTGAGTTTGAACCCCAGAACCCATCTTTAAAAGTTAGAAAAAATTGCTAGGTGTGGTGAAAACTCCAGTGCCTGGGACCTCAGCACTGAGCAGGTGGGCCTGTCCTTGGAAAGTTCCAGGCCAGTGAGAAGCACTGTCTCAAAACTGGATGACGCTGGAGAAAGGACAACAAGGTCATCCCCCTCCTCCACACATTTCACACATGCAGGTGCATACTTGTGTGCACAAGTGCACATATACGTGACCACATGTATGTGTACACACCCATGCACAGTGGGTGAATAAGTAAATGAAGACAGGAAGGAATAACTGATACGGAAGAGAGTGTGGGTGGCTGGGGTTATGTACTTCCTGAGAACCGTTTCCCGGAGTCAAGGGGCAGACATTTGAGCGGCAGGTGATGCTGCTGCCCATTCATTTTTCCCTGTGTCTCCAGTCTGCAGCTCTCCGCCCATCCACATGAAGGTGCAGCCTCTGAATCAGACAGCGCTGCAGGTGTCCTGGAGCCAACCGGAAACCATCTACCATCCGCCCATCATGAATTACATGATCTCCTATAGCTGGACCAAGAATGAGGATGAGAAAGAGAAGACTTTTACTAAAGACAGCGACAAGGACTTGGTAAGGCCCCCTGGGATCGAGGCCTCTGACAGTACACAGAGAGCACATCTCCTCCTATAGGGAGAGAGGAGATTGTGACAGAGAGCCCCCCCGAGAAGCTGGTAGACCAGCTAGCCAGGCATACAGAGCAGTGGACAAGACCCTGTCTCGAGGGAGATGGAAAGCAAGGACCACACCTGATGTTGTCTTCTTCCTCCACACATATACTGCGGTGTGCGGATGCCCAGACATGTCACACACCCCAGTTTTCCCTTTTAAACTGGCTGCTTTTCATTCATCCCAAACAAGCACTTTTCTTTCGATCGGGTTGTTAATACGTATTAGGTGAGTTACATAAGTGCACTGCGGGCCATGGCACTTAGTGAGCCGTGTTTGAGTGTTACCTCTCACAATTACCCTACGTCTGCTTCCACCTCTTCATCTTCTCTGCACACAACTCTGCCTGCTGCTGGCCACAGTCCTCAGGGTCCCTCATGTGTCGTGTGTCTCATGTGTCAGTACACATTCTTGTTGCCTGATGAACTCCAGAGCCCAGGGCGCTTTACACTCTGTTCTGTTGGAGCTGCTGTGACATAAGCTGACCTCATGTTGGCCACACAGACCAAAGCCAGCATCTCTTTTAAAGGTACATGAGTATCTGGCCTCAGACGCCCAGCAAGGCCCTTTGGGCATCTGCTTGTAGAAGCTCTTCTCCCTCATTGTAAACCGTTCAACACGCATGAGTCTTTAAGAAACTCAAAGTGACGCATGTGAGTTTGAAAGCCTGGCTGCTTTATTGTTAATCAAAGGAGGCCCCAGAATAATGAAGCCTGTAATTGTATATGCACATGGAAAATGCTTCTCCTCAGAGTGGGACTCTTAATGACTTGCCACTTTTTTTTTCTCCCAATAGAAAGTCCTCGGTGCTCATTCAATCAGTCATAGAATAATACTTTTCATATTCCTTTAGATGAAGATTCTTTTGCTTCATTGTCATTTCTTTTCAATTCCCCTACTAGACATTGTTATCTGGGTCTCATCAGGGAACACAGAACTTTGTGAAACTGGAGAGGGCTGTATTGGAAGGCACCCAAGGTCACGGTGTGCCTTAACCTTTCTCTTGCCCAAGGGAGTCCATCAGGGAATCCTTCCCTTCCTGAAGTCAGGTTTGCATTAATCTGCGGAAATCATCTAGGCGCCCCTTCTGTTTCTTGTTCTAAGTGGAAAATAATTAAATGCACAGGGAGGAAGAGACGCTGGCTTGGAGTGAATTCTAGTAAATTCCATCTAGATGAAGTGAAGATTTTGCTGTGATTAGAAGATGGGACAGAAGTTCAGGGGACAAGGCATAAATTGGATTCAGAAAGCAAGATGGGCACAAGACTCTGCTTTGACAGCATGCTCCATTTCACAGGGATTCATAGAGGCTTTTTTTCCCTCCTATTGAGACACACAAAATTAAGTTTCTTATTTCTGCCGCACGCCGTGAATGCTGACTCAGGAGAGTGCCCTCCTCTAGCTCACAGTTACTGCGAGGCTTGGCCAGCCTCCTGTCCCACACATTCATTCAACACAGCACACCTGTGTTGGTGCTCAAGGCTTTTTCTAAGAGAATGGAGTAAAGCCTCAGGAATGTGACCTTAACTGTAGGCAGAGGTTTCTGTCCTGCCCAGTCCTGACGCTGTTCAGTCCCAAAGAAACACATAGAGGCTCGTATTAATCCTAAACCGTTTGGCCTGTTAGAGCAGGCTCATTATTAACTAGGTTTTACAATTTAAATTAGCCCATAATTTTGTCTGTTTAGCCACAGGCTTGGTAACTTTTCTCAATGAGACGTTCTCATCTTGCTTCCTCTGCTGCAGTTGTGCTGGCAACTGACTCCCTGCCTTTCCTCTTCCCAGAATTCTCTTAATCTAGTCATCCTGTCTATACTTCCTGCCTGGCTACTGGCCGATCCGTGTCTTATTAAACTAATATGAGTGACAGATCTTTATAATGTACAAGAGCATTATTTCACAGAATTACCCCTTCCTTTCTTTTCAAAACAAATACTCTGAATCTAACCTCCTTTGCTTAGCTTTTTTCCTGACCATTGTCCATAACAAGTTGTAACCAACACTCTAAACAAAGGCAAATATCCCTAATCTATTGTGGGGGGCATGTGGGCATAGTTTTCTAGGCTACTTCCTGCTGACTGGGGCACTGATAATTTTAGGAGGACTCAAAGAAAATTTAGGATTATGGTCAAGTCCTGACTGGAGTATTCTGTGTGCCTGGATCATCTCAGCCAGCAGCCTTGAAGCTGTTCTGGATGCAGAACTCAGAAGAAACTACAGCAGAGGTGCTCTGAAATGTTGGATTATCTGGTCCATCCATTCCCGTTGGAAATTTTTTTTTAGGGATCTTCCTCTATCAAGCCTTATTTTCTTAACCCAGAATGAATCCACAGCCTCTCATTTGCTATGGAAACAAAAGCAAAACCTCTCCTCCAAGGTAACATATCTTTTGGCTTAGATTTTGAAGTCAAGGTATTTTTAAAATCTATAGATCAGATTAATTCAGCAGCATTTATAATCAAATGTCTTTTAGCAGCTGTTGCTCCTTCCTCAGCAGTCAGGCAATTCAAAAAGAACACAATAACATAAGTATCCAGATTCTCTATGGATTTTCTATCTTTACATAGCTTTTTTTTTTACTTTATTTCTTTCATTTTTATTTTTAATTTTGTTTTTTTTTTTGAGACAGGGTTTCTCTATATATCTTTGGCTATCCTGGAACTCGCTCTGTAGATCAGGCTGTCCTCTGCAGCCTTAGCACATCTATGCTCTCTGCTTGCTGCCAGAAAACAGAGCCTATCAGAGGCAAACGGTTACCAAGAAGCTGCACTTCACTTTGTTCTTGTCTGTCTAGGATCCTTTCTTTCCTTTTTAAAGCTTTCTCGGATTTTATGTGGAAATTCTTGCCGAACATTTGGGCACCATTTGTAGACGAAAGTTTTTATCCCACCTGGTCCCACAGCTGTTCAGTCCCAAAGAAACACACAGAGGCTTTTATTAGCTATAAACTGGTTGCCCTGTTAGCTCAGGTTTATTGTTAACTAGCTCTTACAGCTTAATTAACCCGTAATTCTTGTCTATGTTTAGCCACATGGCTTGGTATCTTATCTTGCTTCCTCTGTGGTGACTGACTCTCTTTGCCTTTCCTCTTCCCAAAATTCTCTTAATCTGGTCGCCTTGCCTATACTTCCTGCCTGGCTACTGGCCAACCAGTGTTTTACTAAACTAATATGAGTAACAAATCTTTACAGTGTACAAGAGCATTATCCCACAGCACGTAACCCCCCCCACCCCACCCCATTCCCATCTGGAAGTTGTTCCCAGTGGTAGCAACCAGTGTTGCCATGACCACATGCTAATACCAAACTAGAGGATTATGGTGGCTGTGCCAGGAGAACCCTCTTAGTAATTCCATTCATACTGGCTCGGAGTACACATGTCTGCCAGGAGGCCTGTCACCCATTAGATGGAACCTTTGGGGACCAGTGGCATTCCCTGCTTGTTTTTCCAGGAACAATACTGCCTGCTTTGTAGGTATGTTCCATTTCCTCGGTGTTAAAGGCAGTGGAGAGGAAGCATTGAGGAATGGCGGTCAGGATGTGGCTCGTGATGTCTGATGACAGTTGACAAACATTTTTCTAGAAAGGGCCAGGTAGTAATTATTTTAGGCTTTCAGGTCATATAGTCTGTCAAAACATCTTAACCTTGTCAATATTTCGGTGAAAATGTACAGAGTACACGCGCATGCACAGACATGTGCACGCATGCGTGCATGCACACGCATGCGCACACACACACACACACAATGACCTTGTCTATGTGCCAGTGAAACTTCATAATAACAGATGACCTGCCTGATCTAGCATGCAGGCTGTAGCTTGTCAATGTTCAAGTGAAAGTAACCATCCAGAATACACACACACACACACAACCAGAAATAGAAAAACAATGACCATGCCTGTGTGACAGTAAGAGATGGCCTGCTGGATCTGAATGCTGGATCTGAATGCAGGTCATAGCTTGCTGGCTCTGGCTGCTGCTCTCTTCAGTGTTGCCAAGAGCAAAGTTTGCCTGGCCTGTGTTATGCAGCCCTGTTAGGTGGCTGTGCCTGTCCACATACTAACAGAAGCTAGAAGACATTTAGTGCATGTTTCAGGGCCACACAGCTAGAGAGTACTGTGGCAAAGTTACGTCTTGTAAGTCTGTTGATTTTGTTCTTTGTGCGGAGGGCTTTAGACAACAACAACAACAAGAAAACCATCCAGGCAGAGAATTTTTTTTTTGCTAATTTTCTAAAACTGCCATGGCTCTGGAGTTCTTTTCTTTAAACTGTGGAGGTGGTTGTGGATAATAATTACAGTTTCTGATGTTTAGTGATAACGACAGAAGTCGGGGCTTTGAGAGCAGAAAGGCTCAAGACCTGTCCCAAGCTATGAACCAGTTGCTGGTAATTCTTCAGTGTTGAAACAGATTTCCCCCACAAGGTTATTCCTAAGCAGTCTCTAGAGAAAGCCAACCGTCGGGACTCTGGGATGCCCAGGTTTGTTCTTGGGTGAACCGCATCTGTGAGCTCAGAACCAACGCGGTACCTTCTCTTCCTTCCCTGCAGAAGGCTACCATTAGCCATGTGTCACCTGATAGCCTTTACCTGTTCCGAGTACAGGCCGTATGTCGGAATGACATGCGCAGTGACTTCAGTCAGACGATGCTCTTTCAAGGTAAGGCTGGGTATTGTCTTCGTGCCTCCCACTGTCCCTAACGCTGCTTCTTTCCTCAGGGACTTGGTTCATAGAGGGTGTAAGCCGTACTCAGGGAGCTCTGGTCGTTTAGGTCTACCTTTGGGGTTGGGAGTCTCAGAGGCCGATAGAAGGACAAGCAGGGCTGTCTTTACATGGCTTTATTGATGTGTTCCAGCAGTGCCTCTTGTTTCAAGCTATGTCAGATAGTGTGGTCTCCCAATTCCTGCCATAGCCTCTTACTTAGATATCCAGCAGGACTGATCTTTGCCTTTTAAAAACTGGAGCCCAAGATTATATATAATTATATATATATATATATAATATGTATGTATAATTTCTAATTAATTAGTTTTGGTATTTTCCAACCAGGTTTTTCTGTGTAACAGCTCTCTGTCCTGGAACTAGTTCTGTAGACCAGGCTGGCCTCAAACTCACAGAAATCTCTGTCTCCTGGGTGCTGGAATTAAAGGCGTGCGCCACCACCACCTAACCCAAGATAGAAAATCTGTCCTTCCAGTTTGCAAGCCACACAGAAAAGTCTCTGTGTAGTATTTTCCCAGTCTGGAGATCTGTGTTCTGTGCTGCCTGGGGACCTCTAGGAGGATCTAGGGCCAAACTGAGGGTGAACCAAATGGAACTTTGCCTTCATGCATTTAGTGGAGTCATTTTTCTAGAAAGCAATCAATACAAAGATTTCATGAATGAAATATTGAAATCTTATCTTATTAACTTATTTTATTTTGTCGGTATACGTGTTTTATCTTCACGCATGTATATGCACCACATGCACACGGTACTCATGAGTAAGGCCGGGGGAATGTAAAGATAACCTGGAGCTGCAACAGACACCTGTAAGCTGCATGTACGTGCTAGGACCCGAACCCAGCTCCTCTGCAAGAGCAGCAAGTGTTTTTAACAAGTGAGCCATCTCAAACTCCAGAAATATTAGAACGATAGATAGATAGATAGATAGATAGATAGATAGATAGATAGATAGATCAGATTAGTTGTAGCTTAGTAGTGAAGCATGTGGTTAGCATCCACGAGGCTTAGGTTCACTCTCTATCATAAAAATATAATAATAACAAAAAATTATAGAAGTAATGATGGGACATAATCTTTTTTCTGCCCCATTTTAATCCTAGTATTATTTACAGAAATCAGCAGTCACCTGTGGTCCTTAGTTTATGAATATAGTTTCATAAGAGAAACTAAATCCATCAGGAAACTCAGGGCCTTGGGCTCCGCAGAGACTCTGACCGCTCAGGCTGCTTACTTCTCGAAGGCCGCAGTTTTCTGCCTGTCAGGTGAAAAGCCTGCACACCAAGCCAGTGTTACCCCCTTTTCCTCTGCCGTGACTTTCTGCAACAGAGACCATACTCAGCTGATCCTTAGCTTCCGAGTTGTGGATCAGATTAAGCATCTGGACTTCCTCCTAGAAAATGCATGTAAAATTGCAGACCCTTTAAGTCATGTGGGCAGGTTGCACCAGCACCATCTGAAGCCTCTGAGCTCCGCACGCTCACAAACCCTCATACCAACTTAGCAACGTGAGTTCTAGCAAGATGGCCCTAGTGACAGACAGGCGCGTTAAATGGTGAAGACTGCCAAGGTGGAGCTGGGCTCTGCCGGGAGGGTGCAGGTCCCAGCCCGCAGTCATCAGCTGTGCCATGCTGAGAACCTCTGTTGTTTGTCTTAAGGCTGCGGTTTACCACCCCAAGGAAACGGGCAGCCTTTACAGGCAGGCGCGTACGTGGGGGCCATTGTACACTTACACCAGTGTGCCTTGAATAATCAGTGTAGCATAAATCACAGGACCGTGGACCAACAACTCCTGGTGTGTCACTGAAGTGCTTGTCTAGACCTTACCAATTGAACATTCCACACCCAGAAATGGTGACGTCCAAATCCTCCAGTACCTGAAGTCACTTGATCATCATGGGAGTGTTCATAAAGTTTCAGCCCTTATGAGGTTTGGTTGAAAATAGTAAATGATAGCCGGGCGGTAGTGGCGCATGGCTTTAATCCCAGCACTCGGGAGGCAGAGGCAGGCGGGTCTCTGTGAGTTCGAGGCCATCCTGGTCTACAAGAGGTAGTTCCAGGACAGGCTCTAAAGCTACAGAGAAACCCTGTCTCGAAAAACCAAAAACAAAGAAAAAAAAAACAAAGAAAATAATAAATGATGAACCCAGGGGGAAATCCTCCAGCATAGATTTCTTCCAAGGAACTGGAATGTACATGTGTCATTTGAATGTGTCATTTGAATGATTTCATCCTTCTGTTAAAAATTAACTAAAGTTTACCATAGTTTCATTTTTTTCATAAATAAATCTGTGTCCACACACTTACAAAAATGCATTGTTCCATGTTGAGCAGGCTCCTTGGGCCGTGGCAGGGTCTGTGTCAGGCAAGGGGAGGGAGAAGGTCGGCCGGTCTGGGAGCTTGCTGCGGCCAGGCCTTGGGACTTCAGCCCCATAAATCATGATTAGGCCTCTCGTTGCCTGGACCCAGAGCCTGGGAGCTGCAGAAGTGTCCCCTTTGATTAATAGTCCTGGGCTGCCTGGCCTCTGAAAAATTAAAGGATTGTAATAGCGCTATTCCGAAAAGGCCCCATCAGGAATAAATTCAAATCAGGGAACATCTTAAATGTCTGGTCATAGCGGCTTGTTAAGAATGACTGGTGTGTGCAGGGCATTGGCCCCCATGTGTTGAATAGGAGCGGATCCTTGGTTCGCATCTTTCCACACCACCCATGAAAGCCCTGTGCCAACAAACCCGCACCCTCATCAAGGTCAGCCCTCTGCCCTTTCCTGCCCAGCCTTTTCCCACTTCTTCGGAGCAAGAGAGAGCAAGGTGCAGAATTCACCTCCTATTCAGACTCAAGGTTTAAGAACGAAAACAGGATCTTCGAGAATTCCAGAGACTTTTTTTTTCTTTTCTGTAACTGCTTTTAGAAATAAATTTGTATCAGATTTGGGAGCATAGGAACTCAAATGAAGTATTGTTTGTAGTGATTATAACCGTCACGGACGGGGCTTCCAGAACCTTCTGTCTGAGCATAAAAGTCGTCAGGCACATCCTCCCTCATGGTGGTCTTAAGAACTAAAGTCCACCAGAGGGGAATCAGTTAAAGTCATATATACTTGTCATAATATTTTAAACAAATTCTGAGCTGCGGTGATGGGTGTATGCATTTAATGCAAGCACCAAGTGACAAGCCGTTGGTCCTGGAGCTGCTGCCGTGTCGAAAAGCAATCACCATCAGCCATTCTCAGAAATCACTGAGTCGATCCGGCGGTAGAATGGTATCAGATCTCAGAGGCTGTTCTAAACTAATAAAGCCAGCAGCCTGATGGAATGGCGACTGAGCCCATTGGCCTTCTCAGACCCCCTTTTAAAGGGCATGAGCCACAGGGCTCCTTGGAGCCTTTTATCTTCTGTTAAGGAAGCAGGATGTGCATGCCTGTCTGGGGTATATTTTGACCCAGGTTAGAGTTGCAGCCTTAGCTTCTTTATTTGACCTGTTATCTAAGCAGTTGTATTGACTTGTAGATCCGCCTTCCCGGTTCTCTCTTTGCACACTGTACTTTTGCTTAAACAAAACGTGTGCATTATTATGTCGGGGTTGTGAACTCGGGTGTCCATGGGGCCTGTCGAGGGGCATAGGTTACGGTAAAGGGAGTAGCAAGATACCAGGTGCCCGAGAAAAGGAGTGATAGACTAAAGTTAATAACACAGTCAGTGTTTTTTGTTGTTGTTGTTGGTGGGGGTTGGTGGTTTGGGGGGGTCTTTCTTTTTAATATTATAGGGCAAACAAAATTGTGTAGGGCCCTTGCCATTTCTAGATTAGGTAAAAAGCATAGCAGATACGTTACTTGCTTGGCTGATTGGCATTTTTGGTAATGTTTTGAGGCTGTGTGTATAGGAGGCAGGTCTTGAGTTTATATAGAATTTTCTAGTTTTATTAAATAACCTCAAGAAGGCTGATATATTTCTATTATAAGTTATGATGTCTAGCGTTATTCCGGAGCCAAATGTTCCTCAGCAAATGAATGGCTGAACATAGTCGGTAGAGACGCACAAGAGAATATTTATTGCACATTGAAAAAAGTAAAGACGTTCTGGCCCATGCCTGTTTTGCATGGGTGACCTCTGCAGACATTATGCTATGTGAAATACATCAGTCACTGAAGTACATATGGGCATGATTACATTTATATGCACAATACAGAAGAGTCACACGCAGAGATAGAAAATACCATCCTGTGGTGGTGGCTCCCAGGGACCAGATAAAAGGAACTGAGTTGGTTGGTTCGTACCCAGAGTTGCATGTTGCAAGATGAGGAAGCTCTGAAGATGAATGGTGGGGAGGTCAGCTGCATGATTAAGCAAATGAACTAACTGACCATTGGTGGATCAAACACTAAGACTGGCTAACGTGGTTATATCCTTCGCCTCTTAATACAAGTTGACATATACTGGGCGTATCCTTTATGGAGACTGCGTGGGAGAGCGGAACTTTGCGAAGAAAAGAGCACAGGAGAGGTGTGCAGCAAAAAGAAAATGACGTGACTGTGTGGAGCATAGCTTGGAGCCTATCAGATGCAAGCGGGGAGGGAGCATGTGACAGTCCACGGCTAGAGGAAGGCAATAGGGTTATTGCAGGACACAGTGAAGGAGCCAATACAAGATGAACCATTGGGCTGGCAGGATGGCTCAGTTTTTGAAGGTGCTTGCAGTCAAACCCGATGAACCAAGCTCAGTCCCACGTGATGGGACAAGAGAAGCAACTCCACAGAGCGCATGCACGCACACACACCCCATTCCCTGCCTTCTCATGAAGGAATACATGCATAAATGTAATAAAAGCTGAGAATATGGTAAGTTGTCATAAGGTAAAGATGCATAATAAAATCACCGCAAGGATGAGAAATGGTGACCCTCCCCCCCCAAAAATAGATGAAACTCAGAAGCCCAACAGCCCTGGAAAATGCATCCGAAGGTCAGTGGAGTTTCACAGGCATTCGGTGCAGCGATAACACAGCCGTCCGTTGCAGTCGTGGGCATCTTATTGTTGTTGAAGTCCTGTTTCAGTAAAACACTAATAATCGCACGTTTTAAATGAATTGCCTGTGACAGGAACTGCTGACTAGATCCCGATTGTCTGACCGTGTCCGCATGACTCAGGAGCGTATCATGTCATACATTGAAATGGTTGGAAAGTGTACAAAGGGGTACTATTCTGTGCCATGAAAAGTATGTGTAATTTAGATTTGTGTGTCCATAGGTAGGGTTTTATTGGAAGCACGTGTATACACTGTGTTTTGTTTACATTGTAACCTCTTTTTTATTCCCCCCTCAGCTAATACTACCAGAATATTTCAAGGGACCAGGATTGTGAAAACAGGCGTGGTAAGTGGAGAATGCTGGGTACACAGTCACTGTTGTTAATTTGGATGCAGTTAAAGTTCTTGCCACAAGGTGTCAGTACAATGTTGTTGAACTGCCCTCGCAGAGCGTTCAGAGACACTTGCTGTCTAAGCTAGTGCGCGAGACAGCAATATTAGTGGCTTCTGTTGTATAATTTTGTCATCATAAAAAATCTTCCCGATCTGTAATTATGTATGATTTCCTGGAATCAGATGATTCAGGGATTACTCCATCCCCAGCCCTCCACTTATGCTAAAATCCAGATGTCGTAACCCATAGCTACTGATCAGAAATTACCAGTGCTGGGGAGAATCTCAGTTGGAAACTCACTAGGCACATCCCAGCATCCAGAAAGCCCAGGATGGTAGTACCGTTACTCACATTCGACAGATGAAGAAACTGAGGCTTGTTGAGTTAAAGGAATAGGCACTTCGTCATACAGAGCGAGGCAAGGAGTCAATGCTAAGCAGGCTTTTCTGTGTTTGGTGGCACTTGGCTTTCAGAAATGAGCTTTAGAACCCATGGTCCTTAAACGGCCAGATTTTTTTTTTTAATGTTAAAGTCGCGTGAAGTTCCAAAATATGTTCCCACTGTTGTTTTGGACTTGGATAAGTGATGAGATATAATTTTGTGTTCTCTACACCAGCTCATAAGGACTGTACTTAGAGTGCTATCCCAGGACATCTCCTGGTGTTGGTAGAAGATGTCTCCCCTGAGTAACACCATAACTCAGCCCAGTTGAGTGTTGGGAAAGGATGGGCTGAGCTTAGGCCTCAGCAGTTCTGCCTCTGGCCAAGCAAGCACACACTTTGCTAAACTCCAAACTCCCTCTCACTCTGCACCTTCCCATCTTTGTACATAGAACAGGCTGCATTGCAAGCCCTGACCCCAGGGTGGCGCTGTGGCGAATGCAGTCACTCTGAAAGGCTCTGGAACTGGTCTGCGCTCAGCTTGAAGCTGCAGAGGCTTCTGTAGAGCTTGTGTCCCGAGTGTGGCACCTGCTTCTGAGCCTGCTGTTTTCCCTTTTGGTCTCCTGCCTGCGACACTGTATGAGGGTGGAGTTAACTCCATTTCGTGGTTCTCCACATCTCAGAGCTAGATAGTCACAGGCAGAAATTGACTTGAAGCATTGACTTCTGCTTCTTGCCCACAACTTCACACGCGCGCGCGCGCGCACACACACACACACACACACACACACACACACACACAAATAGTGGGCATCTGGCCGTTCTATGACTTTTTTGTTGCGTATCTTTAAGGCACTTTTAATGTTTTAATATTTAATATTTCCCCATCTAGCCCAACCATGAGCCACATCAGTAAAAAACTGAATTTAATACAGTAGTTAATTTTTTGATTCAAACTGACTATAAAGCCACTGAAATAAAACTATAAAACTTGGTTACCCTGGACTAGCCATGGTTAATTTATGAAAACCTGTAGGGTAGATGGCTGAAATTCTGAGGTTTTGCAGAGGGGCCTCACTTTGCTTCTTGATTACTGATACTGCCTTGCTTTTTCCTTCACCTCCCTTCTCCACACCCTGGGTGGCCCTTTCAGCCAACAGCCTCTCCTGCCTCTTCAGCGGACATGGCCCCCATCAGCTCCGGCTCTTCTACTTGGACATCCTCCGGCATCCCCTTCTCATTCGTTTCCATGGCAACTGGGATGGGTCCTTCCTCCAGTGGCAGCCAGGCTACAGTGGCCTCTGTGGTTACCAGCACGCTCTTGGCAGGCCTGGGCTTCGGTGGTGGTGGCATCTCCTCCTTCCCCAGTACCGTGTGGCCCACACGCCTTCCTACTGCAGCCGCAGCCAGCAAGCAGGCCGGGAGGCCAGTCCTTGCCACTACTGAGGCCTTAGCTTCTCCCGGGCCTGATGGCGACTCAGCTCCTACCAAGGACAGCGAGGGTGCGGAGGAAGGGGAGAAGGAGGAGAAAAGCGAGAGTGAGGACGGAGAGCGGGAGCATGAGGAGGAGGGGGAGAAGGACTCGGAGAGGAAGGAGAAGAGCGAAGCCACCCATACAGCGGAGGAGAGGAACCGGACTGCTCCTGCCCCCACGCCTTCTTCCCCTCACAGGACTACAGAGGAGGGGGGACATCAGACTATACCTGGGCGTGGGCAGGACCACGCCGGTCCTGCAACAGACCAGCCAGGCCAGGTTGTCCCAGGCTTGGATCCCAATGAGGACGCAGCCACCCAAGTGCCCCCAACAGCCACAGAGGAACATTATTCAGGGAGTGACCCCAGGAGGCCCGAAATGCCATCGAAGAAACCTATGTCCCGAGGGGACCGATTTTCCGAGGACAGCAAATTCATCACTGTTAACCCAGGTAGGTGGTGCTGGTCCATATTTGAGGGTCCAGGCTGCTGTGAACAAATTCGACCTATTTCTAAAAGTAGGGGGGCAGGGGGTGAGGAGTGGGGAAGCAGGTAATAATACCTTTGGGATTGTGTGTATCCCTGGCGTGTCTGTGCCTGCAGCCACATCTACTTCTCTCATCCTGTAAGGAGCATTCTCTTCGCTGGAGTAATTGCTTCCTTGTCTTTCCTTCAGAAGAACTCCTCCCTAAACACCCAAGTGAAGAAAGTAGGTGCCGGTTCTGAGACATTTGCCCATTTCTGTTCTAGTCATGGGTGCTGGTGGTGGGGGCAGCCAAAAAAAAAAGTAAACCGCTTGCCTTGAGAGCCTGAAGTCTGAGCCCCCACACCCAGGTTGTAGGAGAAACAAAGCATGGTGACATGCACTTTCAGCCCCTGCACTTGGGGTGCAGAACCAGGAAGATTCCTGGGGCTCAGTGGCCAGGTAGCCTAGCCTATTTTAAGAGTTCTGTGTCAGTGAGAAACGCTATCTTTAAAAGCCAAGCTAGATGGCACCCTAGGAACAGGGTCCAAGGTGGTTCTCAGATCTTCACGTTCACATGCAGATGACACACAGGTGTGTACACATGTGGGCGCACACATTCACACTCGTGCCTGGGCCCACACAGACATTCTTATTCCTTAGTCGTTTATTAAACACAAACATGTCTGTTTCTGGGTGGCCATTGTTCTGCCAGGCACTAGGTTGGACGTTCTGCCAGGGAAGCCCCTTTGCCTGTGTCATGGAATAGACAGAAAGATGACTGACAGCAGCTGGCTAGAGCACATTCTAGGGAGTTAGGTAGTGGCGACTTGGGAGAGCAAGCTGCTGAGATGGATTTTTTGTGTTGTTTTGTTTTTTTGTTTTGTTTTGTTTTTGTTGTTGTTGGGTTTTTTTTGTTTGTTTCTTTTGTTTTTTGGCAAGCCAGGAAAGAAACTACCCAAATGAGATGTTTGATTGTCAAAAAGTAATAGAAGAGATGGCCACAATGTTGTGACTGATAATTCTGGGGAAGATGGAGACCCACCTCAGGTGAGGAAAGAGGACATGTCCAGTCTGGGGAGTCCATGGTCCTAGCCCAAGCAGTCCTCAGGCTGGCTGTCCTCCAGCATAGCTCCACGAACTACCCGTTCCTAGCTGGGGAAGCAGGCATGGCTGGTTCGGCTTCCACTTGCTGTGCCACCAAAGGCAATGTTTTCCCTCGGTCACATGCTCAGATCGTGATGAGCCATCGTGATGCCGGAGCCGTGGCATGAGGGGCTGTTCCTGTTGCAAGGGCTTCTCTTAATAAGAAACCCCTCGTGTTGCCAGACTGCAAGGCGTTTAGCAACAATGTTTTTTTCATTTAAGCTGTTGTGAAGTTATGAGTGCAAAGAAAAAAAAAGGCAACTGGTAAATATTTATTTGCTTTTCCGCTCGTAAACATTAAAATTCATCTAAAGCTGAGATCTCGTATGTTAAGATACAACGTAGAATACATTTTCATGTTTTGAATTACTTTCCCCTTAAGGCTGCTGTGAACTAACCTCTTTCTAAGTAGGGGTCTCTCGTGGGTGTCATTCAGCATGGGGCAGTTTGGCAGCAAGGCTACAGTGGCCTTGTATAGATGAGAAGAGTGTGTGACCATTGATGAGGCCGACCATGTGCATTCCCTCTGAGAGGCTGCGGTGAACAAGTTGAATCTCTTGCATTTAAAGACAGCAAAGAGTATGGAGTCCCTTCCCGTTGTGTGCCAGGCTCTCGAGTAGGCATTAAAGTGAGACAGTGATGGAGACGTCTCTTCTCCCAGGGGGTACGTGCTCGTAGGAGAGGTATATTGAGGAGATCCCGGCAAACAAATGTGTTTAAACAGAGACCAGTGTGGGCAGTCAGCCACTCACAGACACATGGAAGAACATTCTGGAACGCTGGAGTGGCAGGTCTAGAGATCCTAAACTGGGAATGAGCTTGGATGGGATGAGATCCCTGTGGAGCAAGACCACAGAGAGGAAGGGATGGTAGTAAGGATTGAGTCCAGACCCTGGGAGAGCCAAAGTCATGAAGGTGCCTCGGTCATGCCAAGGGTTAGATTTTAATTGAAATGGCAAACCAGGGAGTTGATGCTAACAAGAGAAATTGCTCATGTGATTGGCTTTTTCTCAAGAACATTTATGTGCGGAAATGGTAGTGGCCATGTGGCCAGGTGGCTTGGGCCGGTGTGTTTCCTCTTTAAGACAAGAGATGGAGCTGGACTGAGTGGACTCAGCCTGTTTCTGAGAACAGTGCCTGCTATGTGTTTGAATTAGGAGCTGGTCATAGCTTGGGAAGCTGCAAGGCTGGGCTCCAAGACTGATTCTGGTAAGAGGAAGCAAGAGGTAGACCTCAGACTTCAGGGAAAGGGGAAAAAGACGAGCGAACCCTGGGATCCCCAAACCCAGCTTCTGGCCCCTTCCATCCCAGCATCAGAAAGCATTTATAGTTTGGCAGAAATGGCTTTTGGCGTTGACTCAGTTCCGTACCTCGACGCCCTCATTCAGTTGACCCTCAAGTGAGTTTGTGCCCAGTGACCTTGTCTGCCAAGGGCAGGTCATGAGAAATCCCCCAGTCAGTGCAGAGATAGTGCTGATAAGGCTGCCTTTTTTTTTTTTCAAGGGTGGGAGGAGAGGTTTGGAGACAGGGTTTCTCTGTGCAGCCCTGACTGTCCTGAAACTTACTCTGTAGACCAGGCTGGCTTCCAACACAGGTTCCCTTACCTCTGCCTCCTGGGTGCTGGAATTAAAGGTGTTTGTGCATCACCACTGCCCAGCTAAAGTTATTGGGACGCTCCAGAGGATTTCAGCCTGCCCGCTGTGCACGAACAACACGTGAATTTGTGGAAGTCACCTGTCCTGTTAGCGCTAAGGCGGGCTGCCAGCAGCCAAATGCCACATCACAGTGGGGACTTTGAGGAGTAGGCGTGAGTGGCTCTATTTTGCAATCTGAATGAACATTAAAGAGCGGTTCCCCGCTATCTGAAGTTAAAATGACCTGCGGGAGTTTGATAATGTAGCTAAATCGACAGGGTGTTTGTTTATCATGCAAAAATCCCCAGTTCTAACCCTCGGCACTGCACACATCCGCTGTGGTAGCACATACCTGTAATCCCAGTACTGCATACATTGACATGGTAGCACATACCTGTAATCCCAGCATTGCACACATCAAATATGGTAGCATATACCTATAAAACCAGCACTGCGTACATCGACATGGTAACACATACCGGTATTCCTAGCACTGCATACATCCGACATGGTAGCATATACCTGTAAAACCAGTATTCAGAGGGCCAGGCAAGAAGATCTGAAGTTCAAGGCCAGTCTGGGATACGTGAGACTGTCCAGGAACGCTCCTCTGCCCTGTCATCTCTGTAGTCAGAACAGCAAGGCTCATTTCTCCCTAAAACCACAGCTCATATTCTGAATTTCTGGGGATTCAAATTTGAAAGTGGTTCTGGGTTGAAATCATGAATTGGCAAACCTTGAGGAGGAAAAAAAAAAAAACCAAGTAGTAAATAATGTTCATAGGCCACAGGTCTCAGCTCTCTGGTTCTACCTTACAGCACACAGCCATGGACAGGATAGCAGTGAGTGGCTGTGACTGTATGCCAGACAATTCCGTTCCTAAAAACAGGTGGGGGGCCTGATTTGGCTCACACTCTGACCTTCTCCAGCCTCTGGTATAAAATAATAAAAAAGAAATAGTGTATGTCTGTTGTTTAATGAAGGATTTGAATAACCAGAGCAGGAACCAGCAAAGCCTCATCAGGGTGTCGTGTCCATGATCTTATGTCGTCTCCATCCATCCTGCCATGTCCCCCATCTGCTCTTCCAGCTTGGGTTTGGTTTTGTTCTAAGTGAAATAACCATCCTTTGTGTGTGAGTGGCGATTGATCTGAGAGACTTTGGGTATATGTTCTTTTCTTCCACTGTTAAGTTTTCTTCCCATGAAGTAAAAAAGTCATCGAGTCAATCTTCAGTATCTTTGAAAACTCAGTGCCCACAGTTAGCAGCGTATCCCCCAAAAGGCTCGCTTAGATTCCTTCCATGATGCTAACATGGCGACCTCGCTGAAATCCTTCTGTGGAAGTAGCGGCAAACTCAGACACAGAATCAGATGAGGCATTTCAATGAGAGGAAAGGGCCAGCGCTCACACATCACAGTGTTGAGTGCAGTAGTCAGCTCTAGAGTACCTACTGCTTCTCAGTATGGTGGTCTCGGCTCCCACCGTTGCCATTGGAAACTCCCTATGAGTCAGAAATCCTAGTTTTTGTGGAGTACTTCACTTTTTAAATTGTAAAAACTATTTGCTTTGGTATATTCCAAACTAAATGTGTCCCCAGGCCAGGTAGTAACACCCCACATTAATCCACGACTGGAGTGGTGGCTGCTGTCCTTGGGCACTGTAGTGACAGTGGTCTTGGGGTCTAGAGGGGTGTGTGTGTGTGTGTGTGTGTGTGTGTGTGTGTGTGTCCTTCAAACCTTTTCCTAGCATTCTGTAGCCCCCAGGCCTTCTAAGGATCAGTGCTGCATGGACATCTAGCCTGTGAGTCCTCATTTTAGGGGCATAGCCTGCAAAGTGGAGGCAGATTTGAAGTCAGCTGACATAGCTCCTGGGCGGTGTGCGCCAGTATAAATGTCAGAGTGCATGCCGCCTGCGAGTTCATCATTTAGGGCAGCACTTGTCTGTCTTTGCCTCCTTAGGTGAGGGACGCAACGTTTTTCAAATCACACCCTGCTTAGACTCTCCTTACTGCCTATTCACGTCTGTCTCAAGCGGGGTGCTGAAGATGATGGTCTGGGTCGGGGTGGCAAATGACAAACTTCAGGAAACATCGGATGTGGCCTGGTGTTAGGTGGCCCATGAGCTGTAAATGCTAAAGAGGGACCTAGGCACTTCCTGCCTAGCTGCTCCGCTCTAAGATGAGCCACAGTGGAGGATGCTGAGACCCA